AATGACTCAAAGTGATCTGACGACCTTTCACTGAAGTGTCAAAATCAAGAATGACCGCCTACCAACGCGCACGGCGGGAATTGCGTAGTTCACGTTTCTTGTGTATTCGGGCGTTAGGTTCCAAAACCGTTCCATCGTTTGGCAGTCATTTCTCAAAGCTGATCTTTCTTCTGAAGACCATCATAATATTTATAGGTCATGATCCCCAACTTTTCTTTTGAAAGTTTATTTAAAATAAATCTAGATGTTAGGTTTAACATCGTTTTGAGCAGTATTCCAGTTATATGACGGCGATGTTGGAGGAAAGCCTGAAGTGATGCAGGTCTTGGACGTTTACCACTTTGGTGAAACCCACGAGCACGGGTATGGTGCTAGCAAACCTAGATAGATAATTTGCGAAGATGTTACAGCTGATATTTCGGCGCCAATGATAACCATGATTCGGTGTGGGGTTGTGATCAGTTTATTCCAGATGTCAGGTATTCATGTAGTACTGTAGTGATTGCCCTACAAAACCGTAAAACATTGTAGAACGGCCACAAAATAATATATATTAATTATACTAGATATCACAAGTAGGTTATTGGATTTATCACAAATAAATGGGATTTATGGACTCCTAATACAACTACACAATTGTCAGACAAATACATAAAATTGTCCCAACATCAAGGGTGATAATTGATAGCCAATTAACATGTTTTGCCCAAGTAATCACAATTAAAACAATATTTACACATATAGTGAGTGAGTGAGTTGGGTTTAACGCCGCCTTTTACAGTATTCCAGTTATATCACGGCGTGTCAGCTTGATGTGGGAGGAAAGCCCGAAGTGATGCATGTCTCAGACGTTTACCACTTTGGTGAAACCCACGAGCACGGGTATGGTGCTGACAAACCTAGAAACATAATCGGGCCGAAACGGGATTCGAACTCATAGGTTTCTGGCGTGCCCAAGGGACGCAACAGTTACTGTGCTCAGCGAATCGCGGCGCCTTAGACGACTAGGCCACCCATGCCCCCATTTACACATATACCTAACATAGACATCATTCCACAAGTAACATGACCGCCTCCGTGGTCTTGTGGTAGAGCGTCCGCCCGGAGAGCGGAAGGTCCGGGGTTCGATCCCCGGCCGCGTCATACCAAAAGACGTTAAAAGATGGTACTTGTTGTTACCCTGTCTGGCGCTCGGCATTAAGGGGCTAAAACAAGGACTGGTCGGCTCGGAGTCAGTATACTGTGTCTGAGTGGGGTATTCATGTTAAACTGCGGCATGGTATCTCAGTGAGCTAGCACTATAAATCGGCATCAGTCCGGACTAGTAGAAGCAGCCACACAAACACACACACGTACATGCACGTCGCTATATAAGTGCAATAATCTTGGACGCGACGTTGAACCCAATTTCACCTCACTTCACAAGTAACATGAAGTACAATCAGATAAATAGGCTGTTTGGCGGAAAGTGTACATAATGATATTTTTTTCTTATACATGATAATACACCTTACCTATTTGTGGAATTCACACAAAATGAAGATCATGAATTGCCTGCAAGTCACAGACACTTATACACTAATGATCTTCAGGCACACAATTCAAACAGAACCATTGCATGTGTATTCTCATAGCCAAGTGACAAAAGCTGGCGTTAATAATTATTTAGACTCTAACTTTAATCAGAACATTTGTGGCAATTGCCTACATTGCCAAATGGACTTTATCGTGGACGTAAATGACCAATTTGATAATAATATACTTTTTCAACATTACCATATATACCTAGTTACTAAATAACATTATTGTTTAAGAAATAACCGATTTAATTAAGATATTTAAAAAAGTATTAAACCTAAACGTAATTTTGTGTTAAAGTATTTTATCCACCTTGGTGTTACCTCATGTGCTTTGTCTGTGACGTGGTAAGATTGGTGCAGGGGGACTATCTTAGTTTTGAAATTAGCCATTGCGAAGCTAAGAATTAGGGTGAGGTGATAAAGACGCTTCATCCTTGTTTCAGAATGAGACAATACTCTTGTTCCAGCATAATACTTTACCTTAAATATAACTACATAACCTTTCAGATGAATGACATTCGTTATGAAATAAAAGACAAATAAAACAAAATGTCAATATTATTGACATTAAGAGCGCAGTATAATATTTCTAATTTTAGATGAGGGATTTCTGTTTGAGGCAGAATGTATGTTCAGTCACTGATTAAAGATTAAAGTCTATCTCACACTCCCTCAATCACATAATGTTTCCTTCCGAACAGCCCTTACTGTGATGTTATAGGCCTAAATGAAGCAAGTCTAGCTTTTCAACAGGTTCTCCCATCTCACTGGGGCTCCTTTTCAATTTACATGGAGTTGTTGGCTCCTATCAACATTAAATATTTTCAGATAATGAGCTTTAGTCTAATCCAAGACATATCTCTTTTCTCTGGAAGCAGGAGTTCATCGGTTGGTTTATATACTCAAAACACATTATTTTTCAGAACTTTCAGCATGTTCAGCGGATAAGTAGTTTTTGTAGTTTGTTTCTGGACTCGATTAGTTTCTTTAATAACAAAAGAGACCTTCCACCACAGTAAATTTGAATACATGTTGTCCCCCCTTGAAGTCATCGCTATATACGTAGTACATTATTCTGACAGATCCGCGGATTGACGGGTGTTACCTGCATTACAGGATCAAGTGTGTTGTATTGTGGTACCGCCTTCGTGGTCCAGTGGATAGGGCGTGTATCCGGGGAGCGATCCCAAGCAGCATCATACTTATTGACATTAAACCATGCTTGTTTCCCTGGCTGGCTCTTGGCAAAAGTGGACAAAACAAGGACTGATCGGCTCGGAGTTAAAACTGCGGCATGGTATCTCAGTGAGATAGCATATAAAACCGTCATTAGTTTGGACCAGCACACACACAGACACACATGAACACATAGAGACACAGGCACACACGCAAACACACGCATACACACACATACATACACAAGGACACACACAGACACACGCGCAATATAAGCGCAATAATCTTGAACGCGACGTTAAACACCATGTCACCTCTGGTTGCGTGTTGTACTGCCATTTAACTGACGATATCGTATTACGCCAAGATCTAATTGTATATATTTGTCCAAAAATCCATGCTAATCTGATCAAGTTACTTGGTAAAACATTGACAGTAGAGGTGTCACCGATAGTCTTCAAAGAAGAGATATTATTGTACATGTATAAGATGCAGGTATTAATTGCAATCAAATGTCTGATATATCTTAACCAGGCGTTTGATGCATAATTTGTGAACTAATCCTTCACATCCATATTGTCACCTCATACTTCGTTACAATATTAATACTGGAGGTCGTCCTCAAGTTGCTGGTATATTACACACTTCAAACATGCTGATAAGGAGAAACTTTGGTAGATGTGTACACGTACATGAACTACCAACTAGTTATAGCATAAATCGTTCTTTATTTAATTTCATTGTTTATCTTTATTTTTATGTACATATGCTACACATATTTTTCTGGAAGTTAAATATACTTTTTAAAATAACATTCGCTTTCATCGGTACGTAATTATCAAGCGACACATTAATTCTCTAATTTTATATCTGTTTGTCTGTCTGTGTAAGCCACCTGGTTTGGTGTCCATTTGTAAACCTGTTATACACAAACCTCCTTTATTGATGGTAACTGTTTGAAGCAGTGCGGCTTGCGTTTCATGAAGAAGCACTGAAGCAATACTCTGCCGACAGACATCAGTGATATAAATTGTACTTTCTACATTTAAACATGTAACAAAGTATAGTGTAAAGTGTTGTGTTATGACAAGTAGTGTTATCACTGATTACACACCTGCTCTCGGATCTAGTAGTGTTAGAAGCCAAGGGGTAAGCCTCGGGCTTCTGAGTGTTTTACTGTCGAAAAGAAGCCTGTTTCACAACAAACGGAGAAATACATTAACGATTTCTCAACCATTAGCCGATACAAGAGTTTTATGAGAATGGTCGATTTCTTTTTATTTCCATGTAGCTAAAATAGCATTTGTGTAACGTGACATGTTTACAAGGACTGAAATATTTCATTAAAAAATACCTTGTAACTATTACTTTTATGTGTCACACAATGGTGATTCATAAGTTATTTCAAGTTAAGAGAGCAATGACGCACCCTGGAATTTTTTCACAAATTATATAAGGTATTTTAAACAACCAAATCCAACATTACATTGTAATCATGTTGTTGCATAGCTGAATATTACATTATTTACTTTGCCCTCATGTGTCACTGACGGTGATTTATTTTGAGTTACGAATTGAGATTGGCTTCTGAAGGGTTAATCTCAAGTCAAGAAGATATACTTTTGTCTCGTACCGCCAACAGAAAACACAATCAATTTCATTGCACGAAGAAGACGAATAGGAAGAATCAGTATATCAAAGTATCACAAACATGGCTTTTTTAGGCATTGATATACCTGCTGATAAATCGATACAGTAAGCACACAAATATGAGACAGTATGAGATATGTACAAACCAGTATGCAAACAATAAACCATGCCTGTGGCTAGCCTGAAATAATTATGAAACTTTAGACAATGCATAGTTAACCGTTGAAAGTTGGTTACAAGGTTTTTTTTGTGTGTTTTTGTGCCAAAATGATTAGTTTCATAGTTACCACGTAAAGCTCTGATGTGTAAAAGCTGGCTGAAAAGCCGTTAAGTATTAATTAGTACAATTTATCACTTCCACATTGTAATCAGGGAAATAAACACGGAGTGATTGCTGTATCAACACACACCCTGAAGCAAGTTACTGCTTGTTAAAACAACATGGCGGAGCCGAGACTACTCCAGGTCACGTGGTACATTCGAACAGTTTAACGAAGGATTTATAAGAAAGTTGAATTTGGAACTGACAGTCGTACAACAAACGGACACATTGGTATTTATTTAAATTTCCACTTATCTGAGTGTAGGTACAACATGGACAGGACTGGTTCACGACTTCTGCTGGTGGATAATGATTTCCTGGATAGTGAAAGTGGAGGTAAGTTTGTTTTTTGGCAGTGCAACCAGGACGATAGTTCGATTATTGATGATCAGTATATGGATATGGTTGTGGTTTTTGGTTGTGATGCACAGTCAGCATTTTTGTATTTGTTCTGCTTTCCGAAATGCTTACGTGTACCTGCACAGATTGTTCATGTCATTTTCAGTCTAAATAACTATAGTGTTGTGTTTGTGCCCAGGTGAATCATCGTCTGGTTATGAATCCAGCGACTCTTCCAATATATCACGTGACTCAAGCCCCGCACCTTCTCGTCTGCCCCGCCCCTCAACCCAGAACGAAGTGATGATCTTCAAAAGCAGCGCCGGTCTTCAGGATAGCCTTGCTTTTATTCTCAGCATGCCCGAGCTGTGTGACGTCACTTTCCTTGTTGGCAAAGATCAAGTTCCGGTTCATGGGGTCAAGGCCATTCTCGCAACACGTAGCAGGTAAGAATATAATGGCATTACGCAATGTCCCTTGTTTAGCGTGACAAGATCATTTACAATTGTTGTCACGCACGTTTGATGCCCTACCCTGTTCCGCTTATCCTTTTCCTATATCCTGTATCCACCTCTCCTCCCCTAGTTAAGACCTGTGAAGACCCGTGGTAGAATAGGTCTTCAGCAACCCAAGCTTGCCGTAAAAGGCAACTATGCTTGTCGTAAGAGGCGACAAACGTGATCGGGTGGTCAGGCTCGCTGGCTTGGTTGATGAATGTCATCGGATCCCAATTGCGTGGATCGATGCACATGATGTCAATCGCTCGATTGTCTGGTCCAGACCCGATTATTTACAGACCGCCGTCATATAGCTGAAATATTGATGAGTGCAGCGTTAAACAACAAACAAACAAATCCCCTAATTAAAATGAATTGGATCACTGTTAGCATAGAATATGAAAAACTCAAGTCTGATACTGTATGTTCAACTGTTACAGGTCTTTATATCAACTGGTCCTACACCATCAGAGACAGTTGGAACTAACAAAGACTGCCAAGAAGAGATTCAAGAAACAAAAACACTCTCCCTACCCGATCACGCTCGTCATCCACGTCCCTGACTACCAGGTGGAGACATTCAGAAGGTTCATCACCTTTGTCCACTCGGGCAAGGTCAAGGTCGACGTCAACCACGTTGTCGGTAGGTTTTTAACTGATAAAATAGACTGAATGCCAATGAAATATTAAACTCCAATAAACCTTAGCAAATGCAGCTATACATTGTATTACAGGTCTTCATTGCGCATCAGAAGAGGTTATTACTAAGGAAATAGATTGAATGTCAATGGAAAACTAAACTAGACTAATAAAACCTCAATAAAACCTAAGGAGATTAAACCCAACGATACATTGTATTACAGGTCTTCTTTGCGCATCAGAAGAGTTCCGACTTCCTGATCTCCGCACTGCTTGCACGGATTTCATAGACAGATGTCAAGGTCATCGACAGATAGAAAACCTCAGAGCAACAGCCAGGCAGTATCCACAAAAAATACCTGCTCAAAGGCTACTAGCTGAGGTATGTATTTATTTAGCAACTTTTTATAATACTTGTAAATGTTGAAATATCAACGTTTAGTCTTTATACATCCAACCTATATATATTGTGTAATATTTCAAATCATTATTCTCTCTTTTTACAGTTTCCATGAAAATCAAGCAATGACCTATATGTACAAGATTAAAGGTTAGACAACCACATAAGGTTCCTATCGACGCAGAAAAACCCGAGATGGCAACGATAACATGAGCGAACAGGACAAAAGATAACCTCAGAGGGTTGCTATGGATGCACCAGAGATCAGAGTCGGTAACCATCACCTTATCGCATAAGTCTAAAAGACGATAGAACGCAGAAGGTTACTATCGATACACCTTCCTTCAGCCCTCAACGCACATGCCATTGGACCAGAAGAGGCTGTGACCACGAGTCAGAACCCCCAGTTTAACAGTTTACATGGTAAACTAAGGAAGACCTCTCCGGCAGGACGTTGAAGTTGGGCTGTCCTCATCACCAGCCACGACAGCACATCACCAACCACGACAGCACTGAGGCCTTAGTGCCTTTACATAGACTTTAAATTATGGCACATCCGACTGAAGTACACCCTGGAGATACTACAGGTCTATAGAGGCTGTTATGAGGTGCCTTGATCCTCTTAATTACTCATTTGTTATGTATTTTATATTTTCTTTCCCTTGAAAGGATTTTATCATTTGACATTTTATTTATCCAATTAATGCAAGCAAATGATATATTTAAAATAAAGCTTTACTTGAATTCTGTTCTGTTGTGTAATCTATGACGTAAGTACTGTTATATTGATGGTCCTGCGATGCCCTGGCTGTGTCATACCAAAGTACATGTATAGAAAGCGTACAGTGTAATGTGTCTGAGTGGGGTATCCATGTTAAAAACAAGCAGGGGGCTACATTGAAAAAGCAAAGCATGAGGTTCCGGGAAATAATTAGCAGCCACACACATATGTAATTGCACGTCATTTTATGAGTGAAATAATTTTGAACGGGATATAAAACCCCATTTCACATCATCCCATCTAATTAAGTAGGCTCTACCGAGTGATGTATTGGAGCACAGCTCTCCACACGTAGTGTCAGTGATTCCTGCTAAACAATTGTAAACCTTGATCATACATTACATTTTAGACCAATCGCTTAGCGGCATGACTCACTCACTCACTCACTCACTCACTCACTCACTCACTCACTCACTCACTCACTCACTCACTCACTCACTCACTCACTCACTCACTCACTCACTCACTCACTCACTCACTCAGAGCAATGTTAGGACTAAGTGATCTACGTAAAATTCCACATACAAAAAAAAGGTTTAAGATGATCTTTCACCTCTCGAAACATGGCTGGAGGAATACGTCGATGCCTTTGTGTGAAAGGAGTTGTATTCATGAACTCAATACGATGCTGTATCAACTTGTATCAAGTAAAGCTGTCCATACTTTACCACCCACTGTGGCACTGGTTTCATTTTCTTTCCCGATCAATCCTCCTGGAGTTGTGGTGGCCGATGCTCCTGCCTTACTTGTTGTGAGTCTCCAAGGGCCCGAGTCTCCATATTTAAAGTCCACTTGTGGTCAGTGATAACCCTACATGCACAAATGAAATATGGGTCCACATTCCCAACAAACAATACCCTGGCTACCACCTTGAGGATATGTGATGCAATATCCTCATATGAAGAAGATAGGTTGAAACTCAGACTTTCATTAAGAGAGGATCTCGTCCGATACAGGTCAGTTCACTCTAAACTTAGACGTCATGTATTATGGAAACTAGCACTAACTTATCCTCATCTTAGGTATTGCATCCAATACTCCCCTAAGAAAGCTTCCCGACCCATTACATTACATGTTGTAAATGTGGCAAACATGCTTATGATTTTGACAGACATGTACTTCTACACTGCGTATATTTTATAAATGATCGAAATGAATCCTTCTCCACCCTCCTTGACAATTTGGATATCAAATTTGGATCAAATTGAACTTCTGGAAGAGATTAATATGCTCGCACTATTCTGGGGCTTAGTAAACATACAATCAGGAATTAGGAACCAGTGTACATGGGAATATGTCTTAAACTTCAGAAAGTCGTTTAAAGTCTAATTGTTGTCAATGATAACCCTACATCCGCAAATGACCTATGTATCCACATTCCCAACAAACAATACCCTTGCTCCCATCTCGAGGAACAGCTCCCTGATGAGATAAGTATGAAAGCCCACGAGAAGATCTGCCACAATTACAAATAGAGCCACAATGAAGTCTGCCTCTTCCTTTAATTCCTGACGGAGATGGGGTGGTAGTTAGGGTGAGAGTGAGTGACAATATCAACTAATTGCTTTTAATGCCACACAACTCTTCTGTTAGGTGTTACACCACATCTTTCAATTCCTGGTAATCATTGTCAGAAGATTTATAAGCCATTTTGGAGGGAATTGGCTTCTTAGAGATTCTAGGGGCTTCCTGTGATTCAACTCAAACACAATCCCTCTACTCAGTACACGCAACTTATAAAAGTCCACAACAGCGTCGTACTTGTGGCCAGATACATTCATCAAATTTGGTTTCCGACCTTGACAGAAAACACTCCTGAGTGCTTGGTTGGTCTCAATAGGCGATGACTTGCTACTCTGACAGCGTTAGCATACAGATCTTTAGGTCTGCAACCCCAAGAAGAAACGTTCTCTTCTGTCATCTGTTTGTCACAGTCAAATCTTGCCATCAGGGATTCATTTTCCCCATAGCTGCCAAAACATGTAAATTTAGCTAACACAGAATCAATGGTGGACTGCGGACATAAAAGTGAATTATACAATACTCTTGATCCAGCATTATAGTCTCCATAGCAATGACTACATAACCTTTCAGATAAATGAAATTCATATGAAAAAAAGACACATACAACCAAATGCCAATATAATTGACATACACTTAAAACCACATACCTTAGAATTCTGTCACCAACCTTCAATATCTTTATTCTTATTTTACTTTTCGACAATATAATATAAAACACCATTTTATATCTAATAATTGTAAAATAGTTCCATGCAAACAAACCTAAGATAATTAAATGCCATGGAAATGTTACTTCTACACGCTACCTTAGGAAATTGCCACCAACCTTCCATATTTGTAAGGAGCTTTTTGTATTATTTTTATTCTTATTTTACTTGATAATAAAGTAAAAAATACAATAGCAAGAGTCGAATAACGATGTTTGAAATCTTGCGAAAAATAGACAACAAAGGCTGAAGCTGTTTGAATATTGCTCGACATAAAAGCAACTATTGATACACAGTGATTAACAGCACAGTAGAATATTTCTAATTGTAGATGTGATTCGGTCTGACATTAAAATTCAAATAATTCTTGGAACATTTCAGGGCTATATCGCTGTCGGAGATATACATATGTGCAACAAACAGTGATCTTTGTTCTCTGACCCCTGAAGATCCGGGTTAGAATAGGTCTTCAAGAACAGCAACCCAGACATGCCATAAGTAGCGACTATGCTTGTCACAATCACTGGATTGTCTGGTCCAGACTCGATTATTTCCAGATCGCCGTCTATAGCTGGAACAAACAAACAAATTTCATTCCCCACACAGCCAACGTTACTCTGGGGACTGTTGGTATATCTTCCTGGTTCAATATGAAGGGATTGTTTGCTTTAGCGGAAAGGATATATTGCCGATGTAATTATATCTATAATTAAAGTTCATAAAGAATTATATACCTTTACAAATGTTGAATATCAGTCTTATTAATTTCAAACGTGTTACATATTCAGAGACAAACAGGTTTCGGAAATCAACAACCTTATTCTTTTACTTCCAAATTAAACCAAAAACACATTTCAGAAAAACAACTTAATTTTAGATAACTTATTACATTGATAACATCCTGATACAGATGAACATCATGTACTTGCCATAAAGCCACTGATATGACGTTTGGATGACCATTTAATATTCTGCAGCAGAAGGGATGGTGGTGGTGGTGGTTGTTCTGGGGTTTCTGTTCAGGACAGAATATATTTTCAGTCGCAGATCAAAGACTAGTCTACCTCACAGTCCCTGAACCATATTATGTTCCCTTCGGACCAGCCCCTACAGAAATGGTATAGTCCGAAATGAAATATGTCTGATTCAACAGGTTCTCCCCTCTCACTGGGGCTCCATTCAATATACATGGAGTCGTTTGTTTCTATCAACATTAAATATTTTCAGAGAATACGCGTTTGTCTAATACAAGAAATACCATTCCTTTTCTCAACATGACGACAATCAGTTTGTTCCAGTGCCCCGCTGCACAAAGCGATCTTAGCGCTAAGACGCTCGTAACCCCCATACTTTAACATTGGCTTACGACAGTCACAGCGCTCAGATTGCCTTGTGAACAGGGCCCAGGACTCACAAGAGCTTATTGTGCATTTTTTAATAAACAAAAGAGCACCCCACCAAGGAATATAAAATAGAGTATCAGTGTATACGAACATTATTCTTACATATGTACGGATTAATGGGTCATCCCTGTATTACAGGGTCCAGTTCATGTTCTGTATTATTGTACAGCCTTCGTGGTCTAGTGGATAGAGCGTCTGCACGGGGAGCGGAAGTCCGGTGGTTCGATCCCCAGCCGCATCATACATTATCGTGAAAAAATGCTTGTTTCCCTGTCTGACGCGTGGAAATAAGAGAACAAAAGAAGCACTGATCGACTCGGAGTCAATAAACTGAGTGAGGTGTCCATGTTAAAACTGCGTCATTGCATCTGATAGAGCTGGCAAGTGTCTGAACAAGAACACACTCAGAAACAAACGGAGACACACATACACATACACACAGCCTCACTCGCTCACACACAGACAAACGCACACACAGACGCTGTATAAGTGCAATAATCTTGAAAGCGACGGCAAACACCATGTGACCTCAACTCGTGGTATGGTTGCGTGTTGTACTGCTGAATAAATTGTATTACGACTAGATCTAATTGTATTATTGTCCACAAATCCACGCTAATCTGATCAAATTACTTGATTAAACATTGACAGTAGAGGTGTCACCAATTATTTTCAAAGCAGATATATATTTGTACATGTATAAAATGCAGGTGTTAATTGCAATCAAATGTCTGATATATCTTAACCTGGCGTTTGATGCATAATTTGTGAACTTATGTTTCACATCCATATTGCCACCTCATACTTCGTTGCACTATTAATACTGGAGGTCGTCCTCACGTTGCTGGTATATTACACACTCCAAACATGCTGATAAGGAGGAACGATGTGTACACGTACTTAAAACTACCAACGCATATATATTAAACTAGTTAGGGCATAAATCGTCCTTTATTTAATTTCATTGTTTAATTTATTTTATGTACATATGCTATAAAATTTGAGCCAATATTTTGCTGGATGTTAAATATACTTTTTAAAATTTCAACATCAAGCGACACATTAATACTCTAATTTTATGTCTGTCCGTCTGTCTGTGTAAGCCACCTGGTTTGGTGTTCATTTGTAAACCTGTTATACACAAACCTCCTCAATTAAAGGTAACTGTTTGAAGCAGTGCGGCTTGCGATTCATGAAGAAGCACTGAGGCAATACTCCGCTGCTAGACATCAGTAATATAAATTGTACTTTCTACATTTAAACATGTAACAAAGTACAGTGTAAAGTGTTGTGTTATGACATGTCATGTTATCCCTGATTACACACCTGCTCTCGGATCTAGCAGTGTTAGAAGCCAAGGGGTAAGCCTCGGGCTTCTGAGTGTTTTACTGTCGAAACTGTTATAAGGTATCTTAAACAACCAAATCCAACATTACATTGTAATCATGTTGTTGCGTAGGTCAATATTACATTATTTACTTTACCCTCATGTGTCACTGACGGTGATTTATTTTGAGTTACGAATTGAGATTGGCTTCTGAAGGGTTAATCTCAAGTCAAGAAGATATACTTTTGTCTTGTACCGCCAACAGAAAACAATCAATGTTCATTACACGAAGAAGACGAATAGGAAGAAACAGTTTATCAAAGTATCACAAACATGGCTTTTTTAGGCATTGATATACCTGCTGATAAATCGATACAGTAAGCACACAAATATGAGACAGTATGAGATATGTACAAACCAGTATGCAAACAATAAACCATGCCTGTGGCTAGCCTGAAATAATTATGAAACTTTAGACAATGCATAGTTAACCGTTGAAAGTTGGTTACAAGTTTTTTGTGTGTTTTTGTACCAAAAAGATTAGTTTCATAGTTACCACGTAAAGCTCTGAAGTGTAAAAGCTGGCTGAAAAGCCATTTAAGTATTAAATAGTACAATTCATCACTTTCACATTGTAATCAGGGAAATAAAAACGGAGTGATTGCTGTATCAACACACACCCTGAAGCAAGTTACTGCTTGTAAAAACAACATGGCGGAGCCGAGACTACTCCAGGTCACGTGGTACATTCGAACAGTTTAACGAAGGATTTATAAGAAAGGTGAATTTGGAACTGACAGTCGTACAACAAACGGACACACTGATATTTATTTAAATTTCCACTTATCTGAGTGTAGGTACAACATGGACAGGACTGGTTCACGACTTCTGCTGGTGGATAATGATTTCCTGGATAGTGATAGTGGAGGTAAGTTTATTTGGCAGTGCAACCAGGACGATAGTTCGATTAATGATGATCAGTATATGGATATTGTTGTGGTTTTTGGTTGTGATGCACAGTCAGCATTTTTGTATTTGTTCTGCCCTCCCAAATGCTTACGTGTACCTGCACAGACTGTGCATGTCATTTCCAGTCTTAATTACTATAGTGTTGTGTTTGTGCCCAGGTGAATCATCGTCTGGTTATGAATCCAGCGACTCGTCCAATATATCACGTGACTCAAGCCCAGCACCTTCTCGTCTGCCCCGCCCCTCAACTCAGAGCGAAGTAATGATCTTCAAAAGCAGCGCCGGTCTTCAGGACAGCCTAGCGTTTATTCTCAGCATGCCCGAGCTGTGTGATGTCACTTTCCTTGTTGGCAAAGATCAAGTTCCGGTTCATGGGGTCAAGGCCATTCTAGCAACACGTAGCAGGTAAGAATATAATGGCATTATGCCAGAGCCTGACAAGATCATTTACAATTGTTGTCACGCACGTTTGATGCCCTACCCTGTTCCGCTCGTCCTTTTCCTATATTCTGTATCCACCTCTCCTCCCAAATTTAAGACCTGTGAAGACCCGTGGTAGAATAGGTCTTCAGCAACCCAAGCTTGCCGTAAAAGGCAACTATGCTTGTCGTAAGAGGCGACTAACGTGATCGGGTGGTAAGGCTCGCTGACTTGGTTTATGAATGTCATCGTATCCCAATTGCGTGGATCGATGCACATGATGTCAATCACTGGATTGTCTGGTCCAGGCCCGATTATTTACAGACCGTCGTCATATAGCTGAAATATAGCTGAGTGTGGCGTTAAACAAGAAACAAACAAATCCCCTAATTAAAATGAATTGGATCACTGTTAGCATAGAATATGAAAAACTCAAGTCTGATACTGTATGTTCAACTGTTACAGGTCTTTATATCAACTGGTCCTACACCATCAGAGACAGTTGGAACTGACAAAGACTGCCAAGAAGAGATTCAAGAAACAAAAACCCTCTCCCTACCCGAACACGCTCGTCATCCACGTCCCTGACTACCAGGTGGAGACATTCAGAAGGTTCATCACCTTTGTCCATTCGGGCAAGGTCAAGGTCGACGTCAACCACGTTGACGGTAGGTTATTAACTGATAAAATAGACTGAATGCCAATGAAATATTAAACTTCACTATTGTACCTTCAATAAACCTTAGCAAATGCAGCTACACATTGTATTACAGGTCTTCATTGCGCATCAGAAGAGGTTATTAACTAAGGAAATAGATTGAATGTCAATGGAAAACTAAACTAGACTAATAAAACTTCAATAAAACCTTAGGAGATTAAACCCAACGAAACATTGTATTACAGGTCTTCTTTGCGCATCAGAAGAGTTCCGACTTCCTGATCTCCGCACTGCTTGCACGGATTTCATAGACAGATGTCAAGGTCATGGACAGATAGAAAACCTCAGAGCAACAGCCAGGCAGTATCCACAAAAAATACCTGCTCAAAGGCTTCTAGCTGAGGTATGTATTTATTTTGCAACTGTTTATAATACTTCTAAATGTTGAAATATCAACGTTTAGTCTTTATACATCCAACCTATATATATTGCGTAATATTTCAAATCATTATTCTCTCTTTTTACAGTTTCCATGAAAATCAAGCAATGACCTATATGTACAAGATTAAAGGTTAGAGAACCACATAAGGTTCCTATCGACGCAGAAAACCCCGAGATGGCAACGATAACATGAGCGAACAGGACAAAAGATAACCTCAGAGGGTTGCTATGGATGCACCAGAGACCAGAGTCGGTAACCATTACCTTATCGCAAAAGTCTAAAAGACGATAGAACGCAGAAGGTTACTATCGATACACCTTCCTCCAGCCCTCAACTCACATGCCATTGGCCCTGAAGAGGCTGCAACCACAAGTCAGAACCCCCAGTTTAACAGTTTACATGGTAAACTAAGGAAGACCCCCCCGGCAGGACGTTGAAGTTGGGCTGTCCTCATCACCAGCCAAGACAGCACATCACCAGCCACGACAGCACAGAGGCCTTAGTGCCTTTACATAGACTTTAAATTATGGCACATCCGACTGAAGTACACCCTGGAGATACTACAGGTCTATAGAGGCTGTTATGAGGTGCCTTGATCCTCTTAATTACTCATTTGTTATGTATTTTATATTTTCTTTCCATTTTATCATTTGACATTTTATTTATCCAATTAATGCAAGCAAATGATATTGAAAATAAAGGTTTACTTGAATTCTGTTCTGTTGTGTAATCTATTATGTAAGTACTGTTATATTGATGGTGCTGCGATACCCTGGCTGTGTCATACCAAAATACATGTATAAAAAGCGTACAGTGTAATGTGTCTGAGTGGGGTATCCATGTTAAACACAAGCAGGGGGTTACACTGTAAAAAGTAAAGCATAAGGTTCCGGGATATAATTAGCAGCCACACACATATGTAATTGCACGTCGTTTTATGAGTGAAATAATTTTGAACGGGACATAAAGCCCCATTTCACATCATCCCATCTAATTAAGTAGGCTCTACCGAGTGATGTATTGGAGCACAGCACTCCACACGTAGTGTACGTTGATTCCTGATAAACAATTGCAAACGTTGATCATACAATACATTTTAGATCAATCGCTTAGCGACATGATACACTCACTCACTCACCCACCCACCCACCCACCCACCCACCCACCCACTCACTCACTCAATCACTCAATCACTCACTCACTCACAGAGCAATGTTAGGACTAAGTGATCTACGTAAACTTCCACATTCAAAAAAAAAGGTTTAAGATGATCTTTCACCTCTCGAATCATGGCTGGAGGAATACGTCGATGCCTTTGTGTGAAAGGAGTTGTATCCATGAACTCAATACGATGCTGTATCAACTTGTATCAAGTAAAGCTGCCCATACTTTACCACCCACTGTGGCACTGGCTTCATTTTCTTTCCCGATCAATCCTCCTGGAGTTGTGGTGGCCGATGTTCCTGCCTTACTTGTTGTGAGTCTCCAAGGGCCCGAGTCTCCATATTTAAAGTCCACTTGTGGTCAGTGATAACCCTACATGCACAAATGAAATATGGGTCCACATTCCCAACAAACAATACCCCTGGCTACCACCTTGAGGATATGTGATATCCTCATATGAAGAAGATAGGTGGAAACTCAGACTGTCATTAAGAGAGGATCTCGTCCGATACAGGTCGGTTCACTCTAAACTTAGACGTCATGTATTATGGAAACTAGCAATAACTTATCCTCATCTTAGGTATTGCATCCAATACTCCCTTAAGAAAGCTTCCCGACCCATTACATTACATGTTCTAAATGTGGCAAACATGCTTATGATTATGACAGACATGTACTTCTACACTGTGTATATTTTACAAATGATCGAAATGAATCCTTCTCCACCCTCCTTGACAATTTGGAAATCAAATTTTGATCAAATTGAACTTCTGGAAGAGAATAATATGCTCGCACTATTCTGGGGCTTAGTAAACATACAATCAGGAATTAGGAACCAGTGTACATGGGAATATGTCTTAAACTTCAGAAATGTATTACATTAACCCAAACTATATAAATATATAAATAGTAGCACAGTGCATGTGCTCTAAGAATATCAGAGATTTTATAAATCTTGGGATGTAACTTCATTCATTCATTCATTCATTCATTCATTCATTCATTCATTCATTCATTCATTCATTCATTCATTCATTCATTCATTCATTCATTCATTCATTCATTCATTCATTCATTCATTCATTCATTCATTCATTCATTCATTCATTCATTCATTCATTCATTCATTCATTCATTCATTCATTCATTCATTCATTCATTCATTCATTCATTCATTCATTCATTCATTCATTCATTCATTCATTCATTCATTCATTCATTCATTCATTCATTCATTCATTCAAAGTCGTTTAAAGTCTAATTGTGGTCAATGATAACCCTACATCCGCAAATGACCTATGTATCCACATTCCCAACAAACAATACCCTGGCTCCCATCTTGAGGAACAGCTCCCTGATGAGAAAAGTATGAAAGCCCACGAGAATATCTGCCACAATTACAAAACGAGCCACAATGAAGTCTGCCTCTTCCTTTAAATCCTGACGGAGATGAGGTGATAGTGAGAGTGAGTGACAATATCAACTAATTGCTTTTAATGCCACACAACTCTTCTGTTAGCTGTTACACCACATCTTTCAATTCCTGGTAACCATTGTCAGAAGATTTATAAGCCACTTTGGAGGGAATTGGCTTCTTAGCAGATTCTAGGGGCTTCCTGTGATTCAACATAAACATAATCCCTCTGCTCAGTACACGCAACTTATAAAAGTCCACAAAAGCATCGTACTTGTCAAATACATTCATCAAATTTGGTTTCCGACCTTGCCAGAAAACAATCCTGAGTGCTTGGTTGGTCTCAATAGGCGATGACTTGCTACAGCGTTAGCATACAGATCTTTAGGTCTGCAACCTCAAGAAGAAACGTTCTCTTCTGTCATCTGTTTGTCACAGTCAAATCTTGCCATCAGGGATTCATTTTCCTCATAGCAGCCAAAACATGTAAATTTAGCTAACACAGAATCAATGGTGGACTGCGGACATACAAGTGAATTATACAATACTCTTGATCCAGCATTATAGTCTCCATAGCAATGACTACATAACCTTTCAGATAAATGAAATTCATAGGAAATAAAAGACACATACAACCAAATGCCAATATAATTGACATACATTTAAAACCAGATACCTTAGAATTCTGTCACCAACCTTCAATATCTTTATTCTTATTTTACTTTTCGACAATATAATATAAAACACTATTTTGATATCTAATAATTGTAAAATAGTTACATGCAAACAAACCTAAGATAATAAAATGCCATGGGAATGTCACTGTTACACGCTACCTTAGAAAATTGCCACCAACCTTCCATATTTGTAAGGAGCTTTTTGTATTATTTTTATTCTTATTTTACTTGATAATAAAATGTTTGAAATCTTGCGAGAAGTAGACAACAAAGGCTGAAGCTGTTTGAATATTGCTCGACATAAAAGCAACTATTGATACACAGTGATTAACAGCACAGTAGAATATTTCTAATTGTAGTTGTGATACAGTCTGACATTAAAATTCAAATAATTATTGGAACATTTCAGGGCTATATCGCTGTCGGAGATATACATATGTGCAACAAACAGTGATCTTTGTTCTCTGAACCCTGAAGATCCGGGTTAGAATAGGTCTTCACCAACCAGACATGCCATAAGTGGCGACTATGCTTGTCACAATCACTGGATTTTCTGGTCGAGCCTCGATTATTTCCAGATCGCCGTCTAAAGCTGGATTATAGCTGATTGCGGCGTTAAATAACAAACAAACCAATTTCATTCTCCACACAGCCAATTATACTCTGTTTTTTGGTATATCTTCCTGGTTCAATATGAAGGGATTGTTTGCTTTAGCGGAAAGGATATATTGCCGATCTTATTATATCTATCATTAAAGTTCATAAAGAATTATATACCTTTACAAATATTGAATGTCAGTCTTATTAATAATCTGATTTCAAACGTGTTACATATTCAGAGACAAACAAGTTTCGGAAATCAACAACCTTATTCTTTTACTTCCAAATTTAACCAAAAACACATTGATTTCAGAAAAACAACTTAATTTTAGATAACTTATTACATTGATAACATCCTGATACAGATGAACATCATGTACTTGCCATAAAGCCACTGATATGACGTTTGGATGACCATTTAATATTCTGCAGCAGAAGGGATGGTGGTGGTGGTGGTTGTTCTGGGGTTTCTGTTCAGGACAGAATATATTTTCAGTCGCCGATCAAAGACTAGTCTACCTCACAGTCCCTGAACCATATTGTGTTCCCTTCCGACCAGCCCTTACAGAAATGTGGTATAGCCCGAAATGAAATATGTCTAGATATTCAACAGGTTCTCCCCACTCACTGGGGCTCCTTTCAATTTACATGGAGTCGTTTGTTTCTATCAACATTAAATATTTTCAGAGAATACGCGTTTGACTAATACAAGAAATACCATTCCTTTTCTCTGGAGTTCATCAGTATGTTCATATACTCAAACCACGCCATTTTTTTAAACTCCGGCATGTCCAGTAGACGAGCGGTTTATGACGTGTACAACATGACGACAATCAGTTTGTTCCAGGGCCCCGTTGAACAAAGCGATCTTAGCGCTAAGACGCTCGTAACTCCCATACTTAACATTGGCTTACGACAGTCACAGCGCAAAGATTGCCTTGTGAACAGGGCCCAGGACTCACAAGAGCTTATTGTGCATTTTTTAATGAACAAAAGAGCACCCCACCAAGATATATAAAATAGAGTATCAGTGTATACGAACATTATTCTTACATATGTACGGATTAATGGGTCATCCCTGTATTACAGGGTCCAGTTCATCTTCTGTATTATTGTACAGCCTTCGTGGTCTAGTGGATAGAGCGTCTGAACGGGGAGCGGAAGTCCGGTGGTTGGATCCCCAGCCGCATCATACATTTTAACGTGAAAAAATGCTTGTTTCCCTGTCTGACGCGTAGAAATAAGAGAACAAAACAAGTACTGATCGACTCGGACTCAATAAACTGAGTGAGGTGTCCATGTTAAAACTGCGTCATTGCATCTGAAAGGCTGGCAAGTGTCTGAACAAGCACACACTCAGAAACAAACGGAGACACACATACACATACACACAGCCCCACTCGCTCACACACAGACAAACGCACACACAGACGCTGTATAAGTGCAATAATCTTGAAAGCGACGGCAAACACCATGTGACCTCAACTCGTGGTATGGTTGCGTGTTGTACTGCTGAATAAATTGTATTACGACTAGATCTAATTGTATTATTGTCCACAAATCCACGCTAATCTGATCAAATTACTTGATTAAACATTGACAGTAGAGGTGTCACCAATTGTCTTCAAAGCAGATATATATTTGTACATGTATAAAATGCAGGTGTTAATTGCAATCAAATGTCTGATATATCTTAACCAGGCGTTTGATGCATAATTTGTGAACTAATGTTTCACATCCATATTGCCACCTCATACTTCATTGCACTATTAATACTGGAGGTCGTCCTCACGTTGCCGGTATATTACACACTTCAAACACGCTGATAAGGAGCAACTTTGGTAGATGTGTACACGTACTTAAAATTACCAACGCATATATATTCAACTAGTTACGGCATAAATCGTCCTTTATTTAATTTCATTGTTTAATGTATTTTATGTACATATGCTATAAAATTTGAGCCAATATTTTGCTGGATGTTAAATATACTTTTTAAAATTTCAACATCAAGCGACACATTAATACTCTAATTTTATGTCTGTCCGTCTGTCTGTGTAAGCCACCTGGTTTGGTGTTCATTTGTAAACCTGTTATACACAAACCTCCTTAATTAATGGTAACTGTTTGAAGCAGTGCGGCTTGCGATTCATGAAGAAGCACTAAGGCAATACTCCGCCGCTAGACATCAGTGATATAAATTGTACTTTCTACATTTAAACATGTAACAAAGTACAGTGTAAAGTGTTGTGTTATGACATGTCATGTTATCACTGATTACACACCTGCTCTCGGATCTGGTAGTGTCAGAAGCCAAGGGGTAAGCCTCGGGCTTCTGAGTGTTTTACTGTCGAAAAGAAGCCTGTTTCACAACAAACGGAGAAATACATTAACGATTTCTCAACCATTAGCTGATACAAGAGTTTTATGAGAATGGTCGATTTCTTTTTATTTCCATGTAGCTAAAATAGCATTTGTGTAACGTGACATGTTTACAAGGACTGAAATATTTCATTAAAAAATACTTTGTAACTATTACTTTTATGTGTCACACAATGGTGATTCATAAGTTATTTCAAGTTAAGAGAGCAATGACGCACCCTGGAATTTTTTCACAAATTATATAAGGTATCTTAAACAACCAAATCCAACATTACATTGTAATCATTTTGTTGCATAGCTGAATATTACATTATTTACTTTGCCCTCATGTGTCACTGACGGTGATTTATTTTGAGTTACGAATTGAGATTGGCTTCTGAAGGGTTAATCTCAAGTCAAGAAGATATACTTTTGTCTTGTACCGCCAACAGAAAACACAATCAATTTCATTGCACGAAGAAGACGAATAGGAAGAATCAGTATATCAAAGTATCACAAACATGGCTTTTTTAGGCATTGATATACTTGCTGATAAATCGATACAGTAAGCACACAAATATGAGACAGTATGAGATATGTACAAACCAGTATGCAAAACAATAAACCATGCCTGTGGCTAGCCTGAAATAATTATGAAACTTTAGACAATGCATAGTTAACCATTAAAAGTTGGTTACAAGTTTTTGTGTGTGTGTTTTTGTACCAAAATGATTAGTTTCATAGTTACCACGTAAAGCTCTGAAGTGTAAAAGCTGGCTGAACAGCCGTTAAGTATTAATTAGTACAATTCATCACTTTCACATCGTAATCAGGGAAATAAACACGGAGTGATTGCAGTATCAACACACACCCTGAAGCAAGTTACTGCTTGTTAAAACAACATGGCGGAGTCGAGACTACTCCAGGTCACGTGGTACATTCGAACAGTTTAACGAAGGATTTATAAGAAAGGTGAATTTGGAACTGACAGTCGTACAACAAACGGACACATTGATATTTATTTAAATTTCCATTTATCTGAGTGTAGGTACAACATGGACAGGACTGGTTCACGACTTCTGTTGGTGGATAATGATTTCCTGGGTAGTGAAAGTGGAGGTAAGTTTGTTATTTGGCAGTGCAACCAGGACGATAGTTTGATTAATGATGATGAGTATATGGATATGGTTGTGTTTTTTGGTTGTGATGTACAGTCAGCATTTTTGTATTTGTTCTGCCTTCCTAAATGCTTACGTGTACCTGCACAGATTGTGCATGTCATTTCCAGTCTTAATTACTATAGTGTTGTGTTTGTGCCCAGGTGAATCATCGTCTGGTTATGAATCCAGCGACTCGTCCAATATATCACGTGACTCAAGCCCCGCACCTTCTCGTCTGCCCCGCCCCTCAACTCAGAACGGAGTAATGATCTTCAAAAGCAGCGCCGGTCTTCAGGATAGCCTTGCTTTTATTCTCAGCATGCCCGAGCTGTGTGACGTCACTTTCCTTGTTGGCAAAGATCAAGTTCCGGTTCATGGGGTCAAGGCCATTCTCGCAACACGTAGCAGGTAAGAATATAATGGCATTATGCAATGTCCCTTGTTTAGCGTGACAAGATCATTTAAAATTGTTGACACGCTCATCCTTTTCCTATATCCTGTATCCACCTCTAGATCTCCCCCCCCCCCCCCCCCCTAGTTAAGACCTGTGAAGACCCGGGGTAGAATAGGTCTTCAGCAACCCAAGCTTGCCGTAAAAGGCGACTGTGCTTGTGGTAAGAGCTGACTAACGTGATTGGGTGGTCAGGCTCGCTGACATGGTTTATGCATGTCATCGTATCCCAACTGCGTGGATCGATGCACATGATGTCAATCACTGGATTGTCTGGTCCAGACCCGATTATTTACAGACCGCCGTCATATAGCTGGAATATTGCTGTGTGCGGCGTTAAACAACAAACAAACAAATCCCCTAGTTAAAATGAACTGGATCACTGTTAGCATAGAATAAGAAAAACTCAATTCTGACACTGTATGTACAACTGTTACAGGTCTTTATATCAACTGGTCCTACACCATCAGAGACAGTTGGAACTGACAAAGCCTACCAAGAAGAGATTCAAGAAACAAAAACCCCCTCCCTACCCGAACACGCTCGTCATCCACGTCCCTGACTACCAGGTGGAGACATTCAGAAGGTTCATCACCTTTGTCCATTCGGGCAAGGTCAAAGTCGACGTCAACCACGTTGTCGGTAGGTTATTAACTGATAAAATAGACTGAATGCCAATGAAATATTAAACTTCACTATTGTACCTTCAATAAACCTTAGCAAATGCAGCTATACATTGTATTACAGGTCTTCATTGCGCATCAGAAGAGGTTATTAACTAAGGAAATAGATTGAATGTCAATGGAAAACTAAACTAGACGAATAAAACTTCAATAAAACCTTAGGAGATTAAACCCAACGATACATTGTATTACAGGTCTTCTTTGCGCATCAGAAGAGTTCCGACTTCCCGATCTCCGCACTGCTTGCACGGATTTCATAGACAGATGTCAAGGTCATGGACAGATAGAAAAACTCGGAGCAACAGCCAGGCAGTATTCACAAAAAATACCTGCTCAAAGGCTTCTAGCTGAGGTATGTATTTATTTTGCAACTTTTTATAATACTTCTAAATGTTGAAATATCAACGTTTAGTCTTTATACATCCAACCTATATATATTGTGTAATATTTCAAATCATTATTCTCTCTTTTTACAGTTTCCATGAAAATCAAGCAATGACCTATATGTACAAGATTAAAGGTTAGACAACCACATAAGGTTCCTATCGACGCAGAAAACCCCGAGATGGCAACAATAACATGAGCGAACAGGACAAAAGATAACCTCAGAGGGTTGCTATGGATGCACCAGAGACCAGAGTCGGCAACCATTACCTTATGGCATAAGTCTAAAAGACGATAGAACGCAGAAGGTTACTATCGATACACCTTCCTCCAGCCCTCAACTCACATGCCAATGGCCCAGAAGAGGCTGCAACCACAAGTCAGAACCCGCAGTTTAACAGTGTACATGGTAAACTGAGGAAGACCTCTCCGGCAGGACGTTGAAGTTTGGCTGTCGTCATCACCAGCCAAGACAGCACATCACCAGCCACGACAGCACAGAGGCCTTAGTGCCTTTACATAGACTTTAAATTATGGCACATCCGACTGAAGTACACCCTGGAGATACTACAGGTCTACAGAGGCTGTTATGAGGTGCCTTGATCCTCTCAATTACTCATTTGTTATGTATTTTATATTTTCTTTCCCTTGAAAGGATTTTATCATTTGTCATTTTATTTATCCAATTAATGCAAACAAATGATATTGAAAATAAAGCTTTACTTGAATTCTGTTCTGTTGTGTAATCTATTATGTAAGTACTGTTATATTGATGGTGCTGCGATACCCTGGCTGTGTCATACCAAAATACATGTTTAAATAGCGTACAGTGTAATATGTCTGAGTGGGGTATCCATGTTAAACACAAACAGGGGGCTACATTGTAAAAAGTAAAGCATAAGGTTCCGGGATATAATTAGCAGCCACACACATATGTAATTGCACGTCGTTTTATGAGTGAAATAATTTTGAACGGGATATAAAACCCCATTTCACATCATCCCATCCACTCAAGTAGGCTCTACCGAGTGATGTATTGGAGCACAGCTTTCCACACGTAGTGTCAGTGATTCACTCACTCACTCACTCACTCACTCACTCACTCACTCACTCACTCACTCAGTCCTAACATTGCTCTGTGAGTGAGTGAGTTAGTGATCTACGTAAAATTCCACATACAAAAAAAAAGGTTTAAGATGATCTTTCATCTCTCGAATCATGGCTGGAGGAATACGTCGATGCCTTTGTGTGAAAGGAGTTGTATCCATGAACTCAATACGATGCTGTATCAACTTGTATCAAGTAAAGCTGTCCATACTTTACCACCCACTGTGGCACTGGCTTAATTTTCTTTCCCGATCAATCCTCCTGCAGTTGTGGTGGCCGATGTTCCTGTCTTCCTTGTTGTGAGTCTCCATGGGCCCGTACATGTTTAAAGTCCAATTTTGGTCAGTGATAACCCTAAATGTACAAACGACCTATATGTCCACATTCCCAACAAACAATACCCTGGCTACCATCTCGAGGATATGTGATGCAATATCCTCATATGAAGAAGATAGGTGGAAACTCATTGAGAGAAGATCTCGTCCCATACATGTCAGTTTACTCTAAACTTAGACGTCATGTATTTTGAAAACTAGAAATAACTTATCCTCATCTTAGGTATTGCATCCAATACTCCCCTAAGAAAGCTTCCCGACCCATTACATTACATGTTGTAAATGTGGCAAACATGCTTATGATTATGACAGACATGTACTTCTACACTGCGTATATTTTATAAATGATCGAAATGAATCCTTCTCCACCCTCCTTGACAATTTGGATATCAAATTTGGATCAAATTGAACTTCTGGAAGAGATTAATATGCTCGCACTATTCTGGGGCTTAGTAAACATACAATCAGGAATTAGGAACCAGTGTACATGGGAATATGTCTTAAACTTCAGAAATGTATTACATTAACCCAAACTATATATATATATATATCAGCGATTTTGTAAATCTCCGGATGTAACTTCTGGATTCATTCATTCATTCATTCATTCATTCATTCATTCATTCATTCATTCATTCATTCATTCATTCATTCATTCATTCATTCATTCAAAGTCGTTTAAAGTCTAATTGTGGTCAATGATAACCCTACATCCGCAAATGACCTATGTATCCACATTCCCAACAAACAATACCCTGGCTCCCATCTCGAGGAACAGCTCCCTGATGAGATAAGTATGAAAGCCCACGAGAAGATCTGCCACAATTACAAATAGAGCCACAATGAAGTCTGCCTCTTCCTTTAATTCCTGACGGAGATGGGGTGGTAGTGAGGGTGAGAGTGAGTGACAATATCAACTAATTGCTTGTAATGCCACACAACTCTTCTGTTAGCTGTTACACCACATCTTTCAATTCCTGGTAATCATTGTCAGAAGATTTATAAGCCATTTTGGAGGGAATTGGCTTCTTAGGAGATTCTAGGGGCTTCCTGTGATTCAACTCAAACAAAATCCCTCTACTCAGTACACGCAACTTATAAAAGTCCACAACAGCGTCGTACTTGTGGCCAGATACATTCATCAAATTTGGTTTCCGACCTTGACAGAAAACACTCCTGAGTGCTTGGTTCGTCTCAGTAGGCGATGACTTGCTACTCTGACAGCCTTAGGATACAGATCTTTAATTCTGCAACCCAAAGAAGAAACGTTCTCTTCTGTCATCTGTTTGTCACAGTCAAATCTTGCCATCAGGGATTCATTTTCCCCATAGCAGCCAAAACATGTAAATTTAGCTAACACAGAATCAATGGTGAACTGCGGACATAAAAGTGAATGATACAATACTCTTGATCCAGCATTATAGTCTCCATAGCAATGGCTGCATAACCTTTCAGATAAATGAAATTCATATGAAATAAAAGACACATACAACCAAATGCCAATATAATTGACATACATTTAAAACCACATACCTTAGAATTCTGTCACCAACCTTCAATATCTTTATTCTTATTTTACTTTTCGACAATATGATATAAAACACCATTTTGATATCTAATAATTGTAAAAAAGTTACATGCAAACAAACCTAAGATAATAAAATGCCATGGAAATGTCACTGTTACACGCTACCTTAGAAAATTGCCACCAACGTTCCATATTTGTAAGGAGCTTTTTGTATTATTTTTATTCTTATTTTACTTGATAATAAAATAAAAAATACAATAGCAAGAGTCGAATAACGATGTTTGAAATCTTGCGAAAAGTAGACAACAAAGGCTGAAACTGTTTGAATATTGCTCTACATAAAAGCAACTATTGATACACAGTGATTAACAGCACAGTATAATATTTTTAATTGTAGATGTGATTCAGTCTAACATTAAAATTCAAATAATTATTGGAACATTTCAGGGCTATATCGCTGTCGAAGATTATACATATGTGCAACAAACAGTTATCTTTGTTCTCTGACCCCTGAAGATCCGGGTTAGAATAGGTCTTTAAGATCAGCAACCCAGACATGCCACAAGTGGCGACTATGCTTGTCACAATCACTGGATTGTCTGGTCCAGACTCGATTATTTCCAGATCGCCGTCTATAGCTGGAATATAGCTGATTGCAGCGTTAAATAACAAACAAACAAATTTCATTCCCCACACAGCCAACGTTACTCTGGGGACTGTTGGTATATCTTTCCGGTTCAATATGAAGGGATTGTTTGCTTTAGCGGAAAGGATATATTGCCGATCCAATTTTATCTATAATTAAAGTTCATAAAGAATTATATACCTTTACAAATGTTGAATATCAGTCCTATTAATAATCTGATTTCAAACGTGTTACATATTCAGAGACAAACAAGTTTCGGAAATCAACAACCTTATTCTATAATTTCCAAATTTAACCAAAAGCACATTTCAGAAAAACAACTTAATTTTAGGTAACTTTTTACATTGAAAACATCCTGATAAAGGTTAACATCATGTACTTGCTATAGAGCCACTGATATGACGTTTGGATGACCATTTAATATTCTGCAGCAGAAGGGATGGTGGTGGTGGTGGTTGTTCTGGGGTTTCTGTTCAGGACAGAATATATTTTCAGTCGCCGATCAAAGACTAGTCTACCTCACAGTCCCTGAACCATATTATGTTCCCTTCCGACCAGCCCTTACAGAAATGGGGTATAGCCCGAAATGAAATATGTCTAGATATTCAACAGGTTCTCCCCTCTCACTGGGGCTCCATTAAATATACATGGAGCCGTTTGTTTCTATCAACATTAAATATTTTCAGAGAATACGCGTTTGTCTAATACAAGAAATACCATTCCTTTTCTCTGGAGTTCATCAGTTGGTTCATATTCTCAAACCACGTCATTTTTTCAGAACTCCGGCATTTCAAGTAGACGAGCTGTTTATGACGTGTACAATTTGACGACAATCAGTTTGTTCCAGTGCCCCGTTGAACAAAGCGATCTTAGCGCTAAGACGCTCGTAACCCCCATACTTTAACATTGGCTTACAACAGTCACAGCGCTAAGATTGCCTTGTGAACAGGGCCCAGGACTCACAAGAGCTTATTGTGTACCTTTAAATAAACAAAAGAACACCCCACCAAGAAATATAAAATAGAGTATCAGTGTATACGAACATTTTTCTTACATATGTACGGATTAATGGGTCATCCCTGTATTACAGGGTCCAGTTCATGTTCTGTATTATTGTACAGCCTTCGTGGTCTAGTGGATAGAGCGTCTGCACGGGGAGCGGAAGTCCGGTGGTTGGATCCCCAGCCGCATCATACATTATCGTGAAAAAATGCTTGTTTCCCTGTCTGACGCGTGGAAATAAGAGAACAAAACAAGTACTGATCGACTCGGACTCAATAAACTGAGTGAGGTGTCCATGTTAAAACTGCGTCATTGCATCTGATAGAGCTGGCAAGTGTCTGAACAAGCACACACTCAGAAACAAACGGAGGCACACATACACATACACACAGCCCCACTCGCTCACACACAGACAAACGCACACACAGACGCTGTATAAGTGCAATAATCTTGAAAGCGACGGCAAACACCATGTGACCTCAATTCGTGGTATGGTTGCGTGTTGTACTGCTGAATAGATTGTAATACGATTAGATCTAATTGTATTATTGTCCACAAATCCACGCTAATCTGATCAAATTACTTGATTAAACATTGACAGTAGAGGTGTCACCAATTGTCTTCAAAGCAGATATATATTTGTACATGTATAAAATGCAGGTGTTAATTGCAATCAAATGTCTGATATATCTTAACCTGGCGTTTGATGCATAATTTGTGAACTAATACTTCACATCCATATTGCCACCTCATACTTCGTTGTAATATTTATACTGGAGGTCGTCCTCACGTTGCTGGTATATTACACACTTCAAACACGCTGATGAGGAGAAACTCTGGTAGATGTGTACACGTACTTAAACTACCAACGCATATATGTTAAACTAGTTACGGCATAAATCGTTCTTTATTTAATTTAATTGTTTAATTTATTTTATGTACATATGCTATAAATTTGTAGCCAATATTTTGCTGGATGTTAAATATACTTTTTAAAATTTCAACATCAAGCGACACATTAATACTCTAATTTTATGTCTGTCCGTCTGTCTGTGTAAGCCACCTGGTTTGGTGTTCATTTGTAAACCTGTTATACACAAACCTCCTTAATTAATGGTAACTGTTTGAAGCAGTGCGGCTTGCGATTCATGAAGAAGCACTGAGGCAATACTCCGCCGCTAGACATCAGTGATATAAATTGTACTTTCTACATTTAAACATGTAACAAAGTACAGTGTAAAGTGTTGTGTTATGACATGTCATGTTATCCCTGATTACACACCTGCTCTCGGATCTGGTAGTGTTAGAAGCCAAGGGGTAAGCCTCGGGCTTCTGAGCAGCAGCGTTTTACTGTCGAAAAGAAGCCTGTTTCACAACAAACGGTGAAATACATTAACGATTTCTCAACCATTAGCTGATAAAAAAGAGTTCTACGAGAATGGTCGATTTCTTTTTATTACCATGTAGCTAAAATAGCATTTGTGTAACGTGACATGTTTACAAGGACATATTTATTTTAGAAAACCTTGAAACTATTACTTTTACACGTCACACAATGGGATATAATGGTGATTTATTAGTTATTTCAAGTTAAGAGAGCTAATGACGCAGCCTGGAATGTTATCACAAAAAAGTTATTAAAGGTACCTTAAACAACCAAATCCAACATTACATTGTAATCATGTTGTTGCATAGCTGAATATTACATTATTTACTTTGTACTCATGTGTCACTAGCGGTGATTTAATCTGAGTAACGAATTGAGATTGGCTTCTGAAGGGTTAATCTCAAGTCAAGAAGATATCTATTTGTTTCGCGCTGCCAACAGAAAACACAATCAATTTTCATTACACGAGAAGACGAATAGGAAAAAAACAGTTTATCAAAGTATCACAAACATGGCTTTTTTAGGCATTGATATACTTGCTGATAAACATGCTGATAAATCGATACAGTAAGCACACACATATGAGACAGTATGAGATATGTACAAACCAGTATGCAAAACAATAAACCATGCATGTGCCCAGCCTAAAATAAGTATGATTGAAAATTGGTTACATGTTTTTGTGTGTGTGTTTGTAGTAAGGATTAGTTTAATAGTTTCCTCGCAAAGCTCTGAAGTATAAAAGCTGGCTGAAAAGCCGTCAAGTAGTAATTAGTACAATTAATTACTACCACATTCTGATTAGGGAAATAAACACGGAGTGATTGCAGTATCAACACACACCCTGAAGCAAGTTACTGCTTGCTAAAACAATATGGCGGAGCCGAGCCCACTCCAGGTCACGTGGTCCCCTCGGACAGTGAAACGAAGGATTTAAAAGAAACGTGAACTTGGAATTGACAGTCGTACCACAAACGGACACACAGCTACTTCTGTAAATTTCCACTTGTTATCTGAGTGTAGCTAAAGAATGGACAGATCTGGTTCACGACTTCTGCTGGTGGATAATGATTTTCTGGACAGTGAAAGTGGAGGTGAGTTGAGCTGCTACTTAATACGACCTGCTTTGTCAACCAATGCCGTACACACTTTATATCACAGTGGACTATTGAAATATGCATTATGGAAGTTGCTTAAGTACAATGGTGTACATTATGGTGTCTGGTATGAAAGAAAACATATATTTGAATTCTGACCTATCCGAAAGTTCGTCTATTTAATCAACTGAACAAATGAAGCTCAACCGATGTCTCAGTACCGAAGAGTCTGTGAGTGAGTGAGTATGGTTTTACGTCGGTTTTAGCAATATTCCAGCAATAACACGGCGAGGGACACAGAAATGGCTTTCACATATTGTACCCATGTGGGGAATCGAACCCGGATCTTCGGTGTGACAAGCGAACGTTTTAACCACTACGCTACCCCACCGCCATCAGTACCAAAGAAGAGTATTTCTGTTTTTTTTATTTTGTCATAACGGAATGGAGATCAAGGATCTGTGTTTTCAGTTTAGAATGGCCGTTTGATACTTGTACATACCTGTATTCTATATTGGAATGACATTTACAAGTATCGAATCTACTGTAGGTTAATCGACCAATCAACAGCACTTTGTTATTTAGCATCGTACAATGCACAATGAGGTTCTTATCATTTTGGAAATGTTCTTGTCGGTTTTGATTGTTATATTTGACGCAGTCTTGCCTCTACAGCTTGGTTAAATAAAGAAAAATTGGACAAGAAAGTTTCGAATAGTGTAAATTTTGTAGCATTGTTAAATGTTCACCATAACACACTTTGTTCTTTTAATGCTTTTGGCTGTATAATCAGGATGATACTTCAATTAATGATGATCGTTATGTGGAAATAGTTATGATACACGTTTTTACCCGGTCAGGATTTTCGAATTTTCCCAGCTTCCTCGGATGTTGAGGTTTTCACACAGATTGTGCACGTCATTTTCAGTCTAAAAAAATATTGTATTGTGTTTGTGCCCAGGTGAATCATCGTCTGGTTATGAATCCAGCGACTCTTCCAATGTATCACGTGACTCAAGCCCCGCCCCTTCTCGTCTGCCCCGCCCCTCAACTCAGAACGAAGTGATGATCTTCAAAAGCAGCGCCGGTCTTCAGGATAGCCTTGCTTTTATTCTCAGCATGCCCGAGCTGTGTGATGTCACTTTCCTTGTTGGCAAAGATGAAATTCCGATTCATGGGGTCAAAGCCATTCTAGCAACACGTAGCAGGTAAGAATATAATGGCATTATGAACTGTCTCTGAAACCTTGTTTAGAGTGACAAGATCATTAAGAATGTTGTCATGCCCTGCCCTGTTCCGCTCATCCTTTTCATATATCACAAAGCAGTGACCAAAAATATATTCTGTATCCACCTCTCCTCCCCTAGTTTAAATCAGCTGGAGCATTGTTAGCATAGAATATGAGTGAGTGAGTGACTGAGTTGGGTTTTAACGCAGCTTTTAACATTATTCCAGTCATATCACGGCGTGTCAGCTTAATGTTGGAGGAAAGCCCGAAGTGATGCAGGTCTCAGATCTTTACCACTTTGGTGAAACCAACGAGCACGGGTATGGTGCTGACAAACCTAGAAACATAATCGGGGCGTACCGGGATTCGAACCCATAATCATAGGTTTCTGGCTTGCCCAAGGGACGCAACTCTACACAGCGAATCTCGGCGCATCAGACGACTGGGCCACCCGTGCCCCCCATAGAACATGAACACTCAAATCTGATACTGTATGTACGACTGTTACAGGTCTTTATATCAACTGGTCCTACACCATCAGAGACAGTCGGAGCTGACAAAGACTACCAAGAAGAGATTCAAGAAACAAAAACCCTCTCCCTACCCGAACACGCTCGTCATCCACGTCCCTGACTACCAGGTGGAGACATTCAGAAGGTTCATCACCTTTGTCCATTCGGGGAAGGTCAAGGTCGACCTCAACCACGTTGTCGGTAGGTTATTAACTGATAAAATAGACTGAATGTCAATGAAATACTAAACTTCAGTATTGTACCTTCAAGAAAACCTTAGCAAATGCAGCTATACATTGTATTACAGGTCTTCTTTGCGCATCAGAAGAGTTCCGACTTCCTGATCTCCGCACTGCTTGCACGGATTTCATAGACAGATGTCAAGGTCATGGACAGATAGAAAAACTCGGAGCAACAGCCAGGCAGTATCCACAAAAAATACCTGCTCAAAGGCTACTAGCTGAGGTATGTATTTATTTAGCAACTGTTTATAATACTTGTAAATGTTGAAATATCAACGTTTAGTCTTTATACATCCAACCTATATATATTGTGTAATATTTCAAATCATTATTCTCTCTTTTTACAGTTTCCATGAAAATCAAGCAATGACCTATATGTACAAGATTAAAGGTTAGACAACCACATAAGGTTCCTATCGACGCAGAAACCTGAGATGGCAACAATGACCTGAGCGAACAGGACTACAGATAAATACAGAGGGTTGCTGTGGATGCACCAGAGATCAGAGTCGGTAACCATTACCTTATCGCATAAGTCTAAACGACGATAGATCACAGAAGGTTACTATCGATACACCTTCCTCCAGCCCTCAACGCACATGCCATTGGACCAGAAGAGGCTGCAGCCACAAGTCAGAACCCGCAGTTTAACAGTGTACATGGTAAACTGAGGAAGACCTCTCCGGCAGGACGTTGAAGTTGGGCTGTCCTCATCACCAGCCAAGACAGCACATCACCAGCCATGACAGCACAGAGGCCTTAGTGCCTTTACATAGACTTTAAAGTATGGCACATCCGACTGAAGGACACCCTGGAGATACAACAGGTCTACATCAGAGGCTGTTATGAGGTGCCTTGATCCTCTCAATTACGCTGTGTAATTTCTCTATATTTTCTTGAAATGATTTTATCATTTGACATTTTATTTATCGAATTTATGCACACAAATGATATTGCAAAATAAAGGTTTACTTGAATTCTGTTCTGCTGTGTAATATATTATCTAAGTAGTGTTATATTTCTGGTGGTTCTATACCCTGGCTGCGTCATACCAAAAGAAATGTGAAAATAGGGTACAGTGTAACATGTCTGAGTGAGATATCCATGTTAAACTGCGGCATGGTATCTAAGAGGGCTAACACTAGCAGTGGCCAACATGCCAGGCATTAGAATTCAGGCTAGTACTTGCATGTCGTTTTTTGAGTGAAATAATTTTGAATGCGACACACAGCCCCATTTCACATCATCTCATCTAATTTATCAGGTCTCTACCGAGTGATTTATTGCAAAGCACGCCACACTGTACTTTGATTCCCGCTTCAAATTGCAAACTCAAATCACTTTGACTATAAAAAACCCCACATATTACAGAGGACTTGGTATATTAACGGTTTTTCTTGTTTGTCGTCGTATCGAAACATAGGCAATTCTGCAATCTTGAATAAGCATGTCGGAACAGGTATTGCAGAAAAAAATGTCTTTTAAAGTCAGACTCATAAATATTACGTGCGATACATAAAATCTTGATCATATACATACATTACCGCAAATCGCCCAGCAACATATCACATTTGTATTTACAGTTATATGAAACATGGCGTCTGTGTTCTAAAATTCTTGGGGGTTATAGGTGACCCAGACGCCTAAGGTGTCACTATTCACTGCATAGCATTGATATAACTGATATAACACCCGCCGTGTCGTCTAAGGCGCCGCGATTCGCCGCGCAGAGTTGCGTCCCTTGGGCACGCCAGAAACCTATGATTGTTGGTTCGAATCCCGGTTCGCCCCGATTATGCTTCTAGGTTTGTCAGCACCATACCCGTGCTCGTGGGTTTCACCGAAGTAGTAAACGTCTGAGACCTGCATCACTTCGGGCTTTCCTCCCACATTAAGCTGACACGCCGTGATATAACTGTTATACTGTTAAAAGCGGCGTTAAGCTCAACTCACTCCTTCATTGTCGGGGGCTGGGGAGTTTCTTTTCATAAAAGAGAGCTGAGATTACTTCCTGTCACACTTAAACTTATACCTATGGAGAAAAATATACCTATGACCCGACACCCCTGATTGTCCCATTTGACCATACATCCATCAATTACTATTTACGCAGAATTCCGTGTATTGTTTGAAACTCATCTACGTTTGTAGTTATTATGTTTAAGTGAATAGTGAGAAAATCTTAACTTTCCTTCCATCGGCATAATTGGAAGTGTGACTGGAAAACATTCCCTTAATGAAAATAAGGTCAGGTTTAACAGTTACGTGTATACTTTTTATATTGAAACACAAAACACATGCGACCCCAATAATGAAGAGGGGATATTGCTCAACCACGAGAAAGCCATAACACCAGATATCGCTTTCTCGTCTCAGGCTATCACTTTTCGTCTTGCGCTGTCCCTTTTCCCGTCTTGTGCTATCGCTTTCTCGTCTTGTGTTATCACTTTCTCGTCTCATGCTATCACTTTCTCGTCTCATGCTATCACTTTCTTTCGTCTTGTGCTATCACTTTCTCGTCCCACGCTATCACTTTCTCGTCTCGTGTAATCACTGTCTCGTCTCGTGTTATCGCTTTATCGCTTTCATGCGGCCGTAAAGGAAGGAGAGAAAGCGATGTGCACTCTCGGCTACCATACCTCTCTGGTCTAGTGTATAGGGCATCTACCTGGAGGGCGGAATGTCGGTGTTCGAGATTATGAAAGATGGTACTTGTTGCTACACTGTCTGGATAAAACAAGGAGTGGTCGGGTCGGAGTCAGTGTACTGTGTCTGAGTAGGTTATCCTTGTTAAAACTGCTGCATAGTATCACCACGGGCCGGTACAATAAAACTGTCATCAATTTGACTTAGTACAAGCAGCCACACACAGACACACCCACACATCTACACACACACGTTTGTGCATGTTGCTATATAGGTGAAATAATCTTGAGCGCGAGGTTAAACACCCATTTCAGATCACCTCTATATGGTTGTGTTTTGCAGTGCCACAGGTGAAGTTATTAGGAATAGATCTAGTGGTATTATTCGAAGTATTGCTAATGTGACCAAATTACTTGATAAACATTGACAGTAGAGGTGGGGGCGGGATATATTATTGAACATGTACACAATACATGTGTTAATTATACATGTGATACATTTTAACCAATTGTGAGGTGCAAAATGTGTTAACTAATACTTCACACCCATATTGGTACCTCAGACTTCGTTATGACGTTAAGACAGGAAGTCGAGATGTTCACATTTATGGTATAAATATTCGTGTCCAGTAAGCCAATATTCGGCTGGATGTTATAATCCCTTAAATGGTTCCCATATACGCTTTCATTGGTACCTATTTATCACGCGACACTTTAATACATCAATGTCTGTCTATCTATTTAATAAACAGAAACTTTGGTAAATGTGTATACGCACTTAGTCTACCAACGACTACATGTTGAACTGGTTATAGTATTAATCCACCTTTATTTGATTTTATTGTTTTAAAATTATTTTGATGTACATATGCTATAAATGTCAGTGTCCCGAAGCCAAGATTTGTCTGTATGTTAAGGATACTCTTCAATACATACGCTTTTATTGGTGCATCAAGCGACACTTTAATATCCCATTTTATGTCTCTCTGTCCATAATGCCAGCTGATATACCCGGTTTAACGTTCGTGTATACACCCGTTATCCAGCACACCCCTATGTTGATGGTAACGGTTTAAGGCAGTGTGGGATCCTATCCCTTGAAGAAGTGTTGCAGCAATATGACGCCGATAGGAATCAATGATATAAATCGTGCGGACACATTCAAACGTGGGACAAGCTTCAGTGCAAAGTGTTGTATTTTGCAAGTCATGTTATCTTTGATTGCACACATCCTCTTGGATCTAGCAATCTAGCCAAGGTGGTAAGCTTCGGGCTTCTGAGCAGCAGTGTTGTTACTTTCATTCAAAAAGAAGCCTGTTTCACTACATACAACTGTTAAGTGTGACAGTAAGACTGGTGACACACATGTGTTGTTCGACGCTAAAATTACTCTCCTTGAAGTAACTAGGGCGGTTGATAGAAGCCACTGTGGCAAGGCTCCTGGTGTTGACGGTATCCCGGTGGAATGTCTTAAATCACAAAATGATATCTCGGCTATGTACAAAGTATTTAATATCTGTTTTAGCACAGGGGAAATCCCTGTATTATGGTTAAAGAACATTTTCAACCCCATATCAAAGTGTTCTACTTTAGATCCTTCGGATCCTTTTTCGTATAGAGGTTTGACTTTGACCAATTTTATGTACAGATTGTATTGTAATATTTTAAATAACACCCTGAAAGTGCAGGAGCTCTTAATGATGCATAAAATGGGTTCCGAAAGCGTAGATCAACTACGGATCATATTCATGCTGTTTGTTCTTTTATTGAAACAATTGTATTAAAAAGACACTTCTTCTGCTTTTACTGACTTTCATAAAGCGCATGATGGCATTAAGAGAGGTGTGCTGTGGTAGAAAGTATGTAACATTAGTGTGAAAGGGAAAATGTTTCTAGCACTTAAATCTTTATATGAAAGTGTGAAATGCAGTGTGCCTATAAATGGTATGCTTACACCCTGGTTTAATGTTAATCGTGGTTTAAAACAAGCATTTGTACTCTCACCAATTCTGTTTAACTTTTGCATTAATGATTTGCTTGAATTGTGTTGATGAGATTACTTTCGCAGCCTTATCACATGCTGATGATCTTGAAGAATCGGGAGATGATTTGAATGGTCTAATACATGTTGTGAATACTTAGTATGAAGATAATAGTATCCTTATTATAAATGACAAATCCAAGATTGTACGTATACACTTTAGCAATTTAAGCATTCCAAGAACAACAGCATAATTTGTAATATTGGTAACGCTGTTGTAGATATTGTTAATTGTTATAATTATCTAAGCCTACTGCTCACGGAACATCTTCACTGCAATGCTATGGCAAAAGCAGCAGCTAAATCGGCTAAGGGAGCATCAGGTCTTCTTATATGTAAATATAAGGCAATCGGAGGTATAGATTCCACTACTTATTCCAAATTGTATGATACGATGGTTTGGACAGTCTTGAGTTATGGGGCATCTATTTGGGGTCATCGTGACATTTCTTCTGTTAGTGCCGTTCACCATCGAGCTTTGACATTGTTCTTAGGGTTGGGTAAATACGCTCCAAATGTTGCTGTTAATGGAGACATGGAATGGTTTCCTCCGATAGTTAGACAGTGGATGTGTATTGTTAGACAGTATTGTCGTTTTACTAAAATGTCCTGCAGTTTACATAAGTATGATTTTATGTGGCCTGAACGGTATGCTGGTGGACGAGTGAAAAACTGGAATTTTCGTGTTTGGGCCAAGCTGAACGAAGTGCGATGTGAAGTTGTACGTATGCATGATATATGCAGGGGAATGTATGTGTCTGATTGGAATGAACTGTTATGCAAGCCTGGTGGAAGAGCGGGTGGTAATAAATTATGTACAAACAGAATGTTTAAAGATGTGTATGGGTGTGAGAGTTATGTAAGTATGGAAATGCCTCGTTCTTACCGCTCTGCCTTCTCAAAATTTAGATCAGGTACTGCTCCTCTAAAGTTGGAAACAGGCAGATATATGAATATGAATGTAAATGAAAGAGTGTGTTTTCAGTGTAAGGAAAGTATTGAGGATACATGCCACAGTTCTACACAAACTGTCAATTGTGTTTATGTATATGTAGCTAAAATTGTTTTTGTGTAACATTACATTTTTACAAGTACTGAAATATTGGCTAAAACGTTCTTACTATTGCATTAGGGTTACGCGTCCACAAGACGGGATATGATGGCGATTCATGGGATTCATGGGGTGTAGAGGGCAGTTACGAACCCTTGAATTAAATCACAAAGACATTATTAAAGTATGCAAGATATCTTTGCATTCATTATTTACATATGTGAACATCTACCACCGACGGCGAAATCATTTTAGTAAACAATTCAGGGGATTAACCTTGTGTTTTGAGTGAGTGAGTTGGGTTTAACGCCGCTTTTAACAATATTCCAGTCATATCGCGGCTTGTGTTTTGAACTATTATTTACATGTAGTCGCACTGAAGAGTAGATACTTCTTATTTTAATTTGTACACGAGCGCTTATGTGTCACCAACAAGTGACAAATATCAGATTGCCAGGTTAGGGAAAATCTGAAGTCATTCTTTTGTCTCTGACCGCCCACAGAAAACACAATCAATTTTCTTTACAACAAGAAGAAGACAGAATACTGATACACGATACAGTAATCACACAAATATGCCAGCCCTACATTATGAGATATGCACAAACCAGTTTGAAAAAATAATACAAGCCTGAACGACAAATGACACATTTAAAACATTATTCTTTCATTAAAATTTGAGTCAACGTTGAGACGTAAGTATTGAAATGTCTGTTCTTTCCATGGACATATGTAATTACATCATATGTTGGGCATTTGCAGTAACTATATACACTAAAGTTGACATGTAAAAAACAAAAACGATGTTATAACATGAGACGCTGAGGTCGTTGCTGCATTTTCACGATCACGTTGCCAACTTGGCTGTCATGGTTTTAACGCTAAGAGTTTCCACGCATTACATTTGATGTAGTTTGATGTATAATACATTTTTTAAATTTGTAATCATATACCACGGACGGTGATTTATTTTGAGCAATCATCAATTTTGGGATAAACCTACTGTGTTTTGAAATGTGATTTACATGTAGTCCAACTGAAGATTAGAAACCTATAATAATTGTTATAATTTGGACACGAGCACTTATGTGTCACCGGCGGTTATATATTTGTAAAAACAAATTTAAGATTGGCAGGAAAGGTTAAATCACAGCCCACAGAAAACGCAATCCATTTTCGTTACAAGAAGATGTGGAAGAAGAAACAATGCTGATAAAACGATACAGTAATCACACAAATATGCCGACAGTATGAGATATATGAAGCCGAATGAAAAGAATAAAACAAGCATGTGTCTAGCCTATTGACAACTGTTGACACACTTCGAACATTATATGTTCATTAAAAAATGAGTCAATATTGAAATAAAAGTATTGAAATATCTGCTCTTTTGCATTCCTTAAGCAGCATCTGTAATATATGTTATTACGTCCTAAGCTTGGCATTTGCAGCCACTGTGTACACTGAAATTGATATGTTAAAACAAAATCGATGCTGTAACATAAGAATCTGAGGTTGTTGCTACATTGCAATCACGCTGAATACTTGGCTGTCATGGTGTTAAAACTAACAGTTTCTACGCATTACATATGAGTGTTGTATTAGGACAAGCCTCGTGGCGTCTGAAGCCAATGAGTAAGCCTCGGGCTTCTGAGCAGCAGTGTGTTTTCTGTCATTGTAAAGGAGCCTGTTTCCCTACAAACTGAGAAATATATCAAACGATTTGGCTGATAATAAAGTTCTACGCAAATTATTATTTGTTTTTTTTATATGTAGTTCAAATTGCTTTTGAGTTATATTACATTTTTACAAGTACTAAACTATTTTATAAAACGTTTTTACTATTGCCTTAGTTTTATACGTCCACAAGAGGGGATGTGATGGCGATTTATTGGGATTCAAGTGTAGAGAGCAATGACGAACCCTTGAATTAATTAATTTGAAAAAAAATTATTTAAGTTTTGAAGATATCTTACAAACCAAATCAAAATCTTACATTGTAATCTTGTTGTACTTTGCTGTTTTATGCATTTAATTTTTTTTGTACTCATATACCACCGACGGTGACGTATTTTGAATAGTAAATTAGTGGACAAACCTAGTGTGTTTTGAAATTTGATGTAGTCGCCCTGAAGAGTAGATACCACTTGTTTTGATATCGACACGAACGCTTTTGTGTCACCGACGGTGATGTGTTTTAAGTAACAAAATTGAGATTGGCAAGTAAGGGTAAACCTGAAGTCAAGAAGACTTCCTTTTGTCTCTGACCGTAATCTATCTATCTATCTATGAAAACAATTTAACAAGTATGTGCCCAGCCTGAACGACTAATGACACACCTAAAACATTATATGTTCATTAAAATGTGAGTTAACGCTGTGTCAAAAGTATGGAAATGTCTGCTTTTTACATGAACATATGCAATTACATCCTAAACTTGGCATTTGCAGTAACTGTTTATACTAAAGTTGATATGTTAGAACAAACACGTTGCTATAACATAAGATCCTGAGGTCGTTGCTACATTTGCTCGATCACATTGCATACCTGGCCATCATGGCTTAAACACTAAAAGTCACTATGTTTGATGTAGTTTAGTCTGACAAGTATACATTTGTTTGCAACATAACGCATTATTAGCCGTTAGATGTTAGTTACAATTATTGTGTGTGTGTTTCAAGTAAAAGGGGTTGAGATTAGTTTAATAGTTTCCCCGTAAAACCCTGAATATAATAGCTGATTGAATAGCTGTTAGCTAGCAATTAGTACAATTAATTACCACCACATTCTAATCAGAGAAATAAATACGGAGTGATTGCAGTATCAACACAAACCCTGAAGCAAGTTACTGCTTGTTAAAACAACATGGCGGAGCCGAGACTACTCCAGGTCACGTGGTCTCCTAGGCTAGTGTAACGCAGGATTTATAAGAAAGGTGAAGGTGGAATTGAGTCATTCAACAAACGGACACATTTGACATTTCTGTAAATTTCGACTTGAAATCTGAGTGTAACTAAAGCATGGACAGAACTGGTTCAAGACTTCTGCTTGTGGATAATGATTTCCTGGACAGTGAAAGTGGAGGTGAGTTGTTACTTAATATCACAGACATATTTAACCAATAATATCACAGTGAACTTTTGAAATATTGAACTCAAGTAACAATTTTCCATGACGATTTTAGAATCCTGCTTTCTGATTTGTCTGCAAGTGGTACAAAATCTACGTTTGAACACGATCATACTGATGACCGCAAAAAAATATTGATTTGGAAAGACTTTTATCGCAAAAAAGGCTTTTGTCGCTTATATTTATATGCATTGGACAAGGAAAAATTGACATGGTCAAAATTACTTGCAAAGTAAAATATTGCACACTTCACACTTCATCCTTCAATGTTGTACAATTGTGATGCTTCTTCGAGTCATGATGATCTTTATATGGATATACTTGTGATGCACTTGTTGTGTATTACAACGTTCACATATTTGGATAGTGCCAGCTTCCTCGGATGTTTATGTTTTCCTGCACATATTGTGCATGTCATTTTTAGTCTAAATAAATATTGTAATTTGTTTTGCCCAGGTGAATCATCTTCTGGTTATGAATCCAGTGACTCTTCCAATATATCACGTGACTCGAGCCCCGCCCCTTCTAGCCTGCCTCACCCTTCAGCTCAGAGCCATGTGATGATCTTCAAAAGCACCTCCGGTCTTCAGGACAGCCTTGCTTTTATTCTCAACATGCCCGAGCTGTGTGATGTCACTTTCCTTGTTGGCAAAGATCAAGTTCCGGTTCATGGGGTCAAGGCCATTCTAGCAACTCGTAGCCGGTAAGACTATAATGGTATAAATAATGTCAATAAAACGTGTAATTGAATTTTGAGTAACAATGTCATATAAGTCGATTTTGCTGGCAACGATATAAATAAATAGGTTACTACCATTGCTTGATCGATGGTTGTATATGACTGTTATATCTGATTATGTATGTACAACTGTTACAGGTCTTTGTATCAACTGGTCCTGCACCATCAGAGACAGTCGGAGCTGACAAAGACTACCAAGAAGAGATTCAAGAAACAGAAACCCCCTCCCTACCCGAACACGCTCGTCATCCACGTCCCTGACTACCAGGTGGAGACATTCAGAAGGTTCATCACCTTTGTCCATTCGGGCAAGGTCAAAGTCGACGTCAACCACGTTGTCGGTAGGTTATTAACTAAGGAAATAGATTGAATGTAAACGGAAAACTAAACTAGACTACTGAACCTTCAATAAAACCTAAGGAGATTAAACCCAACTATACATTAATTGTATTACAGGTCTTCTTTGCGCATCAGAAGAGTTCCGACTTCCTGATCTCCGCACTGCTTGCACGGATTTCATAGACAGATGTCAAGGTCACGGACAGAGAGAAAAACTCAGAGCAACAGCCAGGCAATATCCACACAAAATACCTGCTCAAAGGCTACTGGCTGAGGTATGTATTTTATAGCCACTTTTTATAATATTCGTAATTATTGAAATAATGATGTTGAGTGCTTATATGTTCAACTTAAATCAGTTATGTAATATTGTAATTCTTTGTTCTACTCTGTTACAGTTACCATGATAATGAAGCCGTGACAAAAATGCACATGATAAATGCTGACCTGAGTGAACAGGACTGGAGACCATCTATCACAGAGGGTTGCTATGGATGCACCAAAACCAGAGACGGTAACCATAATCTAAAGACGACAGAGGAAAGGTTACTGTCGATGCCTGTCCCTTCAGCTCTAAACGCACATGTTTAAAAGAAGAGGCAACAACCACCAATCAGAACCTGCCTTTTCACAAGTCAGATAACAGAGCAAACTAAAGAGGGTCCCACCTGCAAGATATTGTTGAAGCATGGCCTGGTCATCACCTGCCACGACAACACAGTGGTCTCCCTCATCAGCAGCTACGACAGCACAGTGGTCTCCCTCATCACCAGCTACGACAGCATAGTGGCCTCCCTCATCACCAGCCACAACAACACAGTTGTCTCCTGATCACTGCCACGACAGCACAGTGACCTCTCTCATCACCAGCTACAGCAACACAGTTGTCTCCTGATCACTGCCACCACAGCACAGTGACCTCCCTCATCACCAGCTACGACAGCAAAGTGGCCTCCCTCATCACCAGCTACGACAGCATAGTGGCATCCCTCATCATCAGCCACGACAACACAGTTGTCACCTGATCACTGCCACGACAGCACAGTGACGTCTCTCATCACCAGCCACGACACCACAGTGGCCTCCCTCATCACCATCTGCGATGGCACAGTTACGTCAGGGTCACTGTGTAATGTTTAAATTGCAACTGAAAAATGAGATAAACCAGTGTATATGAGAGGCTGTTATGAGATGTCCTTTCAATCGTGTACATTTCACATATACGAGTTTTTCTTCATATAGCATATACACTATATTGTTTATCTCTTAAAGATGGTAAGCAGAGGGTCTTAAAGATTTTAAGCAGAGTGACTTATGTTCTCACAGAGCTAAAACAACGTTCATGCACACATACGATATCGTATGATATTAAAATATATGTTACATTGAAATCTGTGTTTGTGTTTTGTGGTGTAATCTTTTCTAAGTATTGTTACTTTTAAATTTTAAATATGGTACTTGTTATTACCCTGCCTGGCAGACGGAATTAAGGGTAAAAAGTAGGACTGGTCAGTTGGGAGTCAGTATAATGTGTCTGAGTGGGGTATCGATATTAACGTGCGGCTATATCAGTGGGCTAGCACTAGCATCGGGCTATTAACCAGGAATAAGCCCAGACTATACAAACAGCCACACACACACGTGCATGCACGTCGCTGTATGAGTGACAAATTTTGAACGCCACGTTTAAACCCCACATCACCTCATCATGACTGTGTGACCAGTGCCACCTTCCGGATTAAGACATATCTGGACTAACGGTTAACAAGTAGTTTATTGTCTATAGAAAGAAGAAGACAAATCGTGTTGTTAATGTTCCCCAACTAACACAGGAAGCGACCACAACATCCATCCATGTTATCTAAGAGACGCATTGGTCAGTTAAACAGAAAGTATCGGATAGATCATGCTGTACTTTTCTTACGCAAATGTAATCTAACATCAGCGTTACAATTACAACCAGATAAAGAACCTTATTTTCGAAAGTTGTACTATAAAATACTTTTCAAATTCGTAAAACTGTCGTGCATATTTCGGTCAATTGCAAGATTTGCAGAGCATGGATATGTGTACCGTCAACTTGGCGTCTTACTTTATTTCAGTTTATTTCTACTTTGTGGTATTATATTTTTAATATTGTCGTTGTTGTTGTTGTTGTTATTATTATGACAGATTAAAATAACAAATGCAGCAAAGAGGGTTTGGGTGATCCTGGTACAGTCAGGCTAGTTAGGCTCATCATCAGCTCAGGGCCCTTGCCCCCTCTACACGCAGCCCAGACAGCGAATGGGACTTCTCCCAGGAAGTGCTGCCTAATCAAACCCACCCAGAACTTTTCGGAGAATGTGAAGGCTCCCCAAAACTGCAGCCTTCTGCATTACCCAGATTGTCAGTAGGGCTGTATTCCTGGTAGCAAACCAGGGTACTCTCCCAATGTCAGTCAACAGATTGGGAGGTACCAAACCTAAGGCACCAAAAACAATGGGGAGTCGGACAACTTGGTATTTGCAAGCGTGACATTTCGAAAGCGAGGTCCGCATATTTGCCATGTTTTTCCTCAATCTTGTCAATCACATAAGTGTCAAAAGGGACAGAAAGTTCATGATGATGATGATGATGATGACCATATTATGATTATATTATTATAACTATATATATTATTGCAACTCTTTGCGATATTTTTTATTGACTGTATTGTTATGCATTTTTAGTCTCATAGGCCTGTACACCACATGCATACGTCCTGTGATATTGTATGTACACGTGGCACTTTAATACAATATTCTTGTTCTTATATTATCCTTATTCGTTAACTGATGTCACGGTGAATATAAAGGGGTATGATAATTTTACATGCTGATGATTTTGTTTTCACTACCGTAATTGTGCCCCACGGAATAGTGAGTGAGTATGGTTTTACGCCGCTTTTAGCAAATTCCAGCAATATCACGGCGGGGACACCAGAAATGGGCTCCACACATTGTGCCCATGTCGGGAATCGAACCCGGGTCTTCGGCGTGACGAGAGAACGCTTTAACCACTAGGCTACCCGACGCACGCCCCACGGAATAGATATCGTGGATCAGCAGTAATCCTCCTTCACAACAGTTGCGCCGAAGTGGGCGTGACAAAATGTGTTTCAAAATAAAATTCATGCTTTGCTGAATATGATAAGATACACGTATATGCGTAACGGAGTGATGTATAAATATTGATGGAAATACTAAATAATGCAATATATTCAATAGTTTCACATTAAACTTGGGATATTTTAATGATTTTTTTTATTTAAGCATGATTTTAGAACAATTAACATAACATTTATAAATTTATTCCATAAATGAAAATACCTCCGTCGTTACTTATTGATGAGCTGTTTACGGCTTTAACATTTATTTTGTTTAGTTATTTTCCCACAATGCTTATGTCTATGGACACTAAATATTAATCAATGCGTCGGTACACTGTAACTGATTAATTTTCAATGATAACCTTTCAATTGAACATCAATTATGTGAATAAGAAACTATTTGATGTCATTATTTAATGTTTGTGTGCCATGAATAATAAATAAATTATAGATAACATTAATAAGATATGTACATTCAAAACTCATATTGACACTCATCTGTATTAAGTAGTTTGTTTCCAAATAAAACACTGATAGTAAATATAACTAACAGGTTTCCTCTATCAGTCAACACAGCCTCCATGGTCTAGTGGTAGAGCGTCCGCCCGGAGAGCGGAAGGTCCATGGTTCGATCCCCGGCCGCGTCATACCAAAAGACGTTAAAAGATGGTACTTGTTGTTACCCTGTCTGGCGCTCGGCATTAAGGGGCTAAAACAAGGACTGGTCGGCTCGGAGTCAGTATACTGTGTCTGAGGGGGGTATTCATGTTAAACTGCGGCATGGTGTCTCAGTGTGCTAGCACTATAAATCGGCATTAGTCCGGACTAGTACAAGCAGCCACATACACACACGTGGATGCACGTTGCTATATAAGTGCAATATTCTTGGACGCGACGTTAATCCCATTTCACCTCACCACCTCACCTCTATCAAAATTCAAAATAAATGCAGATGATCACTAGCCTTGGATGTGACATCTTTGATCAGTTGATGGGCTTCAGAATATTCAGTCAGGTCCTTATATTGTTCCACAAGTCTCAGTCTTCTTGGTGGCATAAAAATACATATCCCTGTAGACATGGTTACCCTTGTAAGATGTATTCTTTCCTATCGGACACACCCCGTGACTCTATGTCATCTTATGTGGTATATTTTACATTTACATGTACCGGTGCAAACTTTTTTCCCTTGTATGCAAGCACAGTATCGCACCTTCCTCAGTTGGTGGTGACACGGGTGGCCCAGTCGTCTGAGGCGCCGCGATTCGTTGTGCAAAGCTGCGTCCCTTGGGCACGCCAGAAACCTATAATTGTGGGTTCGAATCCCGGTTCGCCCCGCTAATGTTTCTAGGATTGTCAGCACCATACCCGTGCTCGTGGGTTTCACCGAAGTGGTAAACGTCTGAGACCTGCATCACCTCGGGCTTTCCTCCCACATAAAGCTGGCACGCCGTGATGTAATGGGTTAGACATTTGCATTTACAGCTTTAACAGAAAGGTTAAGATGACGTCCAGTTTTTAATATGAACAGGTGCCACGCCACTCCTTAAAACTGTCAGAGCTCCCTTATGATATATATTGGCAATGCAGTACAAATAAACGTTTCTACATTTAATTCAGTCTTGAAGGTGCTATAAAGGCACAACTGGCTTCCCCGTATGTATGCTCTTTTGTGTGTATAGGATGAATGGTTCGGAATAAACAGGACACTCCTGTATAGTTGATTAATGGGCTTTTCATTCTGTATAATAGACACATATTCCGCCCTTTTAGACACACGTGACTTAGATATAGTTTGTATAGCCGAAACTCAGGTTCAACGAGACGACGTATTGGCAAGAGCTCCGAGACCAACAGCAATTTGTATTCTTGTGTACGTTATCTTTGCACAGAAAACTTGACAAGAAATGTCTGAGCTGGAGACTACCTTGACGTCTTACTGACACAGATGCTGGAATTCCCAACACGAGGACCCATAATCTACATTTGTGCTGACGTCAATAGCAGATAGAAGGTGTACACTGTGCAGAGCACATGCTGAGTAACATTGATTGGTGTCGTGTTTGGTGGCACGAACTACGCAAGGAGAAATGATGTTGTTGATGCTTTTAAGTAATGTACCTCGGATGTCCCTTGTGGTTAAAACCCCAGGCTCCCATCGTGTGTATACAGTAAAAAACCCAACACTGACGTATGTTGTATCTATCTATTGTGCAACACTCTATGTTAAAGGATGCTTCTGTATTTTGCCATCAACGTTTTCAAAGAATAAACGATAGGTTGGTTGGATGTTGATTGGTTGGATGTTGATTGGTTGGATGCTGATTGGTTGGATGTTGACTGGTTGACTGATTGACTGATTGACTGATTGACTGATTGATTGGCTGATTGACTGATTGACTGATTGACTGATTGACTGACTGATTGACTGACTGATTGACTGGCTGATTGACTGGCTGATTGACTGACTGACTGATTGACTGATTGACTGATTGACTGATTGACTTGTTGATGATTGATTGGTCGATTGATTGATTGGTTGATTGGTTGATTGATTTGATGATTGATTTGTTGGTTGATTTGTTGGTTGGTTGTAAGCTTTGTAGCGCTTAGTTTTACACCCTTGAGTCACTATTATGTGAGTGAGTGAGTAAGTGAGTAAGTGAGTAAGTGAGTATGGTTTTACGCGCTTTTAGCAATA